CTGCCACCTCATCTCTCTAACTTGCTCGTCGGAGGGGTCGGGTCGAGCAGACCCGACCTTTGTGCAGGTATCGAGCCGAGGTCCCCCGCTCGGGACGTCCAGGCGAGGAGTCCCCGCCCGGAGGAAGTCGCCGCATCGCCCCGAGTCCAGGGCCACATCCAACCGTCCCGGCGGAAACAAGCGTCGCCCCAGGGAGATCCGCGCCATTCGGGCCCCCGAACGAGCCGAGACGACCTCTCGGGTCACGGCTAAGAAAAAAGGTGTTTACCCTAACATAATGGCGCTAGAAGGAGGGCCGGTCCGAATGTCAAGCGATCAACAGGCTCACTCCGACGAACCCCCAGCCATCCGGTCGCACACGACCGACGCGACGGAAGAACATCCCCAACAGGAGGGGGTTCGGGACGAGCGCCCCGCTGCGATCTCGGAGCGCTATTGGCAATTGTTCAACGATCCGGGTCTGTCGCCGCCCATCGCCAATCCCGGTGGCCCGTCATCCGTGCCACCCGAAGCCTTCTACAACCTCACGCACCAGGTCCGGGCTCTCACGGGAGTGATGCAGACCATCATCCCGCTGGTCTCTCCTCCGACGTCTTCACACTCGACCCTACCTCCGCCACGGCAACGATCCGCCGCCCAAAACCCCGCACCTCTCCCCGGGTCTCCCGCTTCGCCTCCGGGCCAATCAACCCAACCCGGGAGCCGAGGAGCGGAGGAACCAGCGGCGCATCCGACGCCCGTGGCCCCACTTGCGGACTCGGCGGAGGGCCTGTGGGCCCAGCTACGCCTCGTAGGCCGCCGGCTGGACGAGGTGCAGCGGGAGGTTCGCCGGACCAAGGGAGACTCGGGAGCCGAGCAACACCAGGGGTCCCCCTTCACCCCCGAGATTCAAGAACAAGCAATCCCGCCGCATTTTCGACTCCCGTCATTAGATGCCTATGACGGCGCCACCGATCCGGCGGACCATGTAGCTGCTTTCCGCGCCCAAATGGCGCTATACGGGACGTCCGATGCCCTGATGTGCAGGGCGTTCCCGACAACCCTGCGAGGCCCAGCCCGAACGTGGTACAGCAGTCTGAAGGCAGCAACCATCGCCTCTTTCGACCAGTTGGCCAGAGACTTCGAGCTTAACTTCCTGGCTCATGCCAAGCCGAAGCCGTCGGTGGCAATGCTCCTCGGGCTCAACCAGAGGGAGGATGAGCCCCTTTCTCACTTTGTGAACCGCTTCACCACACAAATCCGCGAACTGTCCGATGCTCACCCTTCTTTGCTGATGCAGGCATTCATGATGGGCCTGCGCCCCACCCGATTCTTCTGGTCTCTAGTGGAGCGACCCCCCACCTCGGTTCCCGAAATGTTGCAACGTGCGAACCAGTACATCGCTGCCGAGGCATGGATGGTCGGGAAGCGCAACGAGCGCAAGAGGGTCAAGCCAGAGCAGTCCCAACAACAACAGCCCGCTACCTCCCGACGCAGGGCCGGCAGTCTCAACGACGCGGTACCTAGGTCCCCTTCCCCGAGCCTGAACTCCTCTCGGACCGAGATATTTCTCCATATCAAGGAGAAAGGCCTTCTCAAAGACCCCTACCCGATGAGGAGCCCGCGCGAACTCGCGGACCGCTCTAAATACTGCCGTTTCCACCGGCAGCCCGGTCACGACACCGAGGAGTGTCGAGAATTAAAAAGGCAAATTGAGGAGCTCATCCGTCGAGGACACCTCGGCTCATACCTCCGGCCAGATAAGGAGCTCTCGCCACGCCCGGAGGGCCCCATCGAGCGACACATAGATGTCATAACCGGCGGGCCGGCATCCGGAGGGAGTTCCATGGCGGGTGGAAAGGCATACGCTAGGGCCTCCCAGGCTGAAGCTTTCAAGCATGAAAAGGGTCCCGAAGTCACCTTCCCAACCGGGGAACCTGAACCAACCGAAAATGATGACGCGTTGGTAATATCAGCCAGAATTGCCAACGCGCAAGTGAGCAGGATCATGGTCGACACTGGGAGCTCGGCCGATATACTATATTGGGACGCCTTCCAAAAGCTCGGCCTGGTAAAGGAGAACATGAAGCCGGTAAACTCAACACTCACGGGGTTCACCGGCGCCTCGATCTCGTCAATAGGGATCATCACCCTGCCCCTGACCCTGGGAGCCTTCCCGAAGGCAAAAACGGTGATGACCTCCTTTTTGGTGGTCGACCTCCCCACGGCATACAACGCCATCCTAGGACGGCCAACCCTCAACAAGACCCGAGCCGTCATCTCGACGTATTATCAAACCATCAAGTTCCCAACCCACGATGGGGTCGGGGAAGTGGCGGGAAACTCCTGGGAGTCCAGGCGCTGCTATTTGACTGCTGTGTCATTAAACAAGAGAGCGAGGATCCAATCCCCACTGGAGGACCCCCGGGAGGGAAAAAAAACAACCCCCCGCCCCGAGCCGAAGGAATCTACCATCGACTTGCCACTAGTAGAAGGAAGTCCCGACCGAACAGTCAAAATCGGGTCGGGACTGCCCGAGCAAGAACAACGACAACTCGTCGGCCTTCTACAGGCCAACGCCGACATCTTCGCTTGGACACCCGCCGACCTAGCGGGAGTCCATCCAGAAGTCGCGCTGCACCACTTGAACATCTCGTCCGACGCCCGCCCGGTGAAACAAAAGCCCAGGCGGCAGGCCCCGGATCGACAGCTGGCCATCCGAGAAGAAGTAAACCGGCTTCTGGCGGCCGGTTTCATTGAAGAAGCAAGATACCCACAGTGGCTCTCCAATGTAGTCCTTGTCAGAAAACCTAATGGAAGCTGGCGGATGTGCGTTGACTACACCAGTCTCAACAATGCTTGTCCAAAAGATTGCTACCCCCTGCCGAAGATCGACCAGCTAGTCGACGCCACGGCCGGCCACGCCCGACTCTCGTTCATGGACGCCTTCTCCGGGTACAACCAGATCAGGATGGCACCCGAAGACCAAGAACACACAGCCTTCCTCACCGAGCAGGGGATATATTTTTACAAAGTTATGCCGTTCGGATTAAAAAATGCCGGGGCAACCTACCAGAGGACGGTGAACAAGATGTTCGCACACCAGATCGGACGGAACATGGAGGTATATGTCGACGACATGATCGTAAAGAGCCGAACGGCGGAAGCTCATCCTTCCGACCTGGCGGAAGCCTTCGACACTCTGCGGAGGTTCGGCCTGCGCCTCAACCCCGCCAAGTGCGCCTTCGGCGTGACCTCGGGAAAATTCCTCGGATTCATCATACACGAGAGAGGGATTGACGCCGACCCAGAAAAGATACAGGCTATCATCGACATGCAGCCCCCTCGGACGATCAGAGACCTGCAGCGCCTTAACGGGAGGCTAGTCGCTTTGTCGCGTTTCCTCTCCCGATCGGGAGATCGCTGCCACTCTTTTTTCCAGGCCCTGAAGGACCCGAAGAACTTCCGATGGACGGCGGAATGCGAGAAGGCCTTCGAGCAGATGAAGCTACACCTGGCCAGCCTCCCGCGACTCGCTTCGGTCTCCCCAGGGGAGAAGTTGAGTCTCTACCTTGCCATCTCCCGGCACGCGGTCAGTTCAGTTTTAGTCAAGGAAATGTCCGGCGACCAACTGCCGGTCTACTACGTCAGCCACATGCTGAGCGGGCCAGAAGAACGCTACCCGCCGATCGAAAAGCTGGCGCTGGCGCTCGTCCTGTCGGCGCGGAAGCTCCGCCCTTACTTCCAGGCCCACCCGATAGAGGTACTAACTGATCAACCGCTTCGGCTTGTTCTGTCCAAATTCGACGTTGCAGGGCGTCTCCTCAAATGGGCAGTGGAGCTCGGCGAGCACGACATACAGTACATACCTCGGACCGCCATCAAAGCCCAGTCTGTGGCAGACTTCATCGCGGAGCTAACCCCGAACACAGGCGAAGAACTCGAGCCACCGCGTGACACATGGACCCTCCACGTAGATGGCTCCGCCAACGCAAAAGGCGCCGGCGCGGGGCTGGTACTGGTAACACCTGACGGCCGCTCGATTGAGCGCTCCTTCCACTTCAGGTTCAGGGCCACTAACAACGAGGCAGAATACGAGGCTCTCCTGGCGGGGCTCCAGTTGGCACTGGAGATGCGGGTGGCCGACATACGCGTCATCACCGACTCACAGCTGGTGGCTAGGCAGCTCGGCGGCGAATACGAGGCTCGGGACCCGACTATGGCGAAATACCTAGCACAGGTGAAAAGCCTTGCCGCCAAGTTCGCCCATTTTGAATTGTCGAATGTTCCCAGGGGCGAGAACCAGCGAGCCGACACCCTGGCCAAACTGGCGTCCGGCCCGGCCCCCTGGGCTCGGTCCGAGACTGAAGAACTCCCCCGCCGAGCCATAGAGGTCGTCGCCGCCGTCGCCCACGACGCGCCGGCAACTTGGATACAGGAGATGTTACGCTTCAAGCAGGACGGAACCCTGCCCGACAATGCGACCGCGGCTCGGCGCTTGCGTCGGACGCAGGCGTGGTACGCCGAGGAAGGAGGACGGCTGTACAAGCGGTCTTTCTCGCGCCCCCTCTTGCGTTGCCTGGAGCCGGGCGAAGCCCGGACGGTTCTGTCCGACATGCATGAAGGGGCCTGCGGGGAGCACATAGGCGAACGAACCCTAGCGCACAAGGTACTCCGACAGGGATACTACTGGCCGACCTTGCGCCAGGACGCGAAAGCTTTCGTGCGGCGATGCGGCTCGTGCCAGGAGCACGCCCGCACCGCCCGGCGGCCGGCGGTCCTGTTCACCCCCGTCGACTGTGCCTGGCCATTCGCGCAGTGGGGGCTGGACATACTCGGGCCTCTCTCGCCCGCCTCCGGCCAGCGAAAGTACATCATCGTGGGAGTGGACTACTTCACCAGATGGGTCGAAGCCGAGCCCCTGGCCACCATCACGGAGTCGCAAGTAGAAAGATTCGTGTGGAGGAACCTCATAACTCGTTTCGGCCTGCCCCAGTCCATCGTCACCGACAACGGACCTCAGTTCGCCGGCAGGAAATTCCAAGAGTTTTGCGCCAGGCACAAAATTCAGCTGAGGTTCAGCTCGGTGGCTTACCCCCAGGCGAATGGGCTGGCTGAAGTAACCAACCGGTCCATCGTCGACGGACTCAAGAGAAGGGTGTCCGCTACCCGATCGGCTTGGGTAGACGAACTCCCGAGCGTCCTGTGGGCGCTTCGCACTACCCCCAAGACCCCGACCGGGGAGTCTCCCTATAGCCTCACGTTCGGGACCGAGGCCGTGTTACCATCCGAGGCGACCGTCCCGACTCCGCGGACGGCAGGCTACAGCGAAGAAGCCTCGGGCGAAGGGCTCCGATCAAACCTGGACCTGCTCGAGGAAAGACGGGCCAACGCACATCAGAAGGCTCTTTCTTACAAAAGGGCCGTAGCAAGGGTCTACAACCGAAACGTACGCCCCCGATCGATAAAGCTAGAGGACCTGGTCCTACGCAAAGTCGAGGTCAGCCACCCAACTCAAGCAAGGGGGAAACTAGCCCCAAAGTGGGAGGGACCCTATCGGGTCATCGGAGTATCCCGACCGGGAACGTTCCGACTCGCAACGATGGAGGGCAACCCCGTGCCCAGGACTTGGAACGTACAGAACCTTAGGAAATACTTCGTCTAGAGATGTGGGCACCACGAAAAATAGAAGAAAAGCTCGTTTCATTTAAGAAAAGGGGTACAGTACGGCAACGTTGCGAGTCGGAACCAGACTCACGCACAAAAACCTTCAACCCCGACCCCGACATAGAAAAACTAAAAACTCATCCCTCTTCTGGAGTCTTCGGACGGTCGTCGAACGGCACATCCTCTGGCATGTCCACCTCCTGATCCGCGGGATGAGAAGCAAACGGATCTTTCTCCACCTCGGAGCCGGAAGGGCATGAGCCGAAGCGACCTAGGGCGATTCTGTATCCGTACTCATAGGATACCCGCCCCATCCGGGTCAGTCCGAGCTCGAAGCTCTCGGACTTCTTGTAAGCTTCGACCGCCTCCTTGTCCTTCGACGGGCGGAGGCGAATCTCCTCGGCGAACGCGTCAGCAGAGGCGCGAGCTTCAGCCTCGGCCTTCTCCACCCTCTCGGTAAGACCGAGCGCCTCCGACTTCAATAGACGAAGCTCGGCCCGATCCACACGAAGAAACTCTTGGAGTTCCTTAACCGAGCTGCCCGACTGTTCGAGCTCCGCCCTCAAACGCGCCACTTCCTCCTCGGACTCGGTCGCACGCTTCTCCGCGGCCGCCACCGCCTCTGGGCCTGACCCGGTCCTAACCTCCTCCATCTGACGACACAGCTCAGAGTTGCACTCACTAAGGTTCCAAATGACCTGGCCCGCGTCACGCACGCGGTCCATCAGCGCCGTCGAGTAATGGAGCCCTGCCGCAGGAAAAA